ATATAAAAATATATGGTACCAACAAGTCTGATAAGAGAGTCTTACAAAATCATAATGATGAAATGGGCAAGGCATAAGTAAATAAAATGGTTCAGAAAACACCCTTTTCCGAAGTCTAGCAGTCTTGAATTTGGCAAATTTATTAAGGAATATGTGCATGTAGATCTCTTCAAAAGAGGAATAAATCATGCTTAAATTGATTGTATCAATCAAAACTAACTTATATATGTAGGACTCTATAAAGTGCGATGGGGACGCTAAAATGCGATGGTCACGCTAAAGTGCGATGGTCTACGCTAAAGTGCGATGGTTTGATACGCTAAAGTGCGATGGTCTGTGCTATTTAATGGAACACGCTAAAGTCCGATGCCTCAATACGCTAAAGTACGTTTTTCCGCGAAAGTGCGTTTGTTCGCGGAAGTATGGACGTTTGCAACGTTAATAAAATAGCATTAAGACGCTACAAGCCGTTTGTACATACAAACAAAAATGGACATGCCGGTAAACGAGAATGTTTGTGCAGATGAAGGTTTTTTACTAGACACGAAAAGAGAAACAAATGATTCCAATTTTGGTCGGTGCTAGAAGAGTTTGTATGCGGAGGAGTTATTTCCCAAAAATCATTGACAGTAACAGAAATGCAAAACCTTTGATCCCGCTGTGTCGGTGGAGATAAACGTGTTTCTGACAGGATACTGGAAAAGAATACTTCTCATGAACTTAGAAACTGAAGATAGTAAGGGGAAGGTGTATACCGTAAAAGAGAGCGAAAACGGCAAAATACACCAATAGTCAAAGTATTTAATTCGTCCAAATTTAATTTAGAAACTCCTTCCATGTTTTTAATCCCATGTCATTTACTTGCGTGAAATAAAAGCTACTTTTTAACTTTCTAATTGAATTATTTTATTAAACAATTTTTTACAATATGGTTCGTCATGTCTGTGAAAGAGATAGAATACAATAAACAAAAAACAAATAAGAAGATGTGGTGTAATTGTCAACGAAACAACTATCCACCAAAGACCATATGCACTTAGCAACATTATGAACTTCAACGTGGAGCCTTGGCTTACGTCGCAGAGTGGCTATATAGGACCACGAAATGACTAATGTAAAAGAATGAACACAGCAAAAAACAAAAACCATTGCCTGAACCCCATTCTCGTTACACCATCGCACTTTTAAAAGCGTGTTAAACCAACGCACTTAAGCATGTCATGTATACCATCGCACTTTAGCGTGTCATCTCATCGCACTTAAAAAAGACAAACAACCATCGCACTTTATCATCTGACACCATCACACTTTAGCATGACCATCGCACTTTAGAGTACCATCGCACTTTAGAGTCCTACATATATAAACTTGTTTTTTTTTAAATGATTTCTGCTACCTCATACTGCCTGCTGATGAATTACAAATAGTAAAAATAGTCAGTAGTTTAATTACTCTTTAGAAGATGTGCTTTAAAACGTTAAACAGACTGCCATCCAGCGATCAAAACAGTTAACACAAACTACACTAAAATGCTTTGTTCATTTTTATTCCACAACACTATGATTGAAAATTACATTATTGAAAAATAGGTCAGATTCCATTATAAATCGTTTTTATGAGCATCGTATTTAAATTAAAGAAAAGCAAAAATGAAGATAATAAAAACACAACAATAATTACACAGAATGATGCACATCCTTTTTTTTTTAAGTCTGTTAAATTTTGTTTAATCTATAAATTACAATAAAAGTAGATTCAAGTAAATCAGATACTAAAAAAAAACAAAAAAACATGTTGCAATATAAATATATTGAAGAGGAAATGTTTATTTTCAACTTCATCTTTAGTTTACAAATATACTATTTAACCTTATACCGTTGCATTCTTTAAATAGACATTCCCTCTCCAACATTTGGGGAGGAAAAAAAGTCATTATGCCATCTCAGAATTGTCTGAATAGCACTTTTATTGCTGTTTTTCTTGCATTTTTATTTTCAAATTTCTTCAAAATATCTATATGTTTCTTGATTTCCATGTTAAAAGTTAAAGATATTCTATAATCTTTAAACACAATCTGTCTTTTAACCTACATGCATATCACAGATGCAAATGATAAACCATTAATCATCATTTCTAAGACTATCTATCAGAAAAAAAAACGTGTCTTATACTAAGAAGTATCATAATACATATGTACAATTCATCTTCTAAAGCATTATCAATTGGAATGATAAATATGTATTTTTCAATGTGAATTTAGAAGAAAAAAAGCTTTTGCCTAGAAACTCTAACAAAAAATAAAACTTTGAGTTTCAATAAATAAATAAATGTGTTTTCTTCAAAACCATAACCTCTATAATTTATGGAAAAACTCTAACTTTTAAAAAGTACAAAAAAAAATAAAACAAGACACGTTCTTTAGACAAATTACATAATAAGTGCAAGTGTTTTCTCCATTCTCCATTATTTTTTAAGGAAAAAATTACCAGTGATAACGCTTTATTGGAGGTAAAAATACCATATGACACTGACCCAAACTACTACATTTGGTGCATTTCTGGTTCCTGCCATGGTTTAGACAATGGTCCATGGGTACCAAATTTTAAGAACAACCAGTGGAACCTGCATAATGGAATGTACCCTATAAATTTTAAGAAATCAAGCAAGTTAAAAAAATCTAAAAATGCTCTTTTTAATCGTATAAAAAAATATCAAGTTGATATGATGACATCCTGAAATGGTAAGGTTTTGATTTAGATGGCAATAAAATAACCTTTAGTGAAACCATGAAAATGATTTTAAAGTCATATGCCTGATGAACATATACTCTTTACAACAAACAGTTATACCAATTATTGTTGATGTGTAAAATGCACTTAACTTGATCACTGGAACAAGGAAATGAGATCAAGCACATTCTATATATTAGATAATTCCAATGTCCAAATATCAAATGCTGATAACCTGTCTCCTACATTTATTGGAAATCAAAAATTATAGTTGTTATTTAAAGACTATATAAAATTATATTACATTTTTGTGTGGTGAATTTTCATTATTGCCTGGTGCTTGCAAAGCCCAGCAAATCAAATACACCAAATTCACATTCATATCCATTTGATATAGTCATCATTCTATTACATTACTTGTTCTTGAATAAAAAAAACTACATCCCCACTCCTACCACCAAAGAACTAGAGGCTCTAAAGAGCCTGTGTCGCTCACCTTGGTCTATGTGCATATTAAACAATGGACACAGATGGATTCATGACAAAATTGTGTTTTGGTGATGGTGATGTGTTTGTAGATCTTACTTTACTGAACATTCTTGCTCCTTACTATTATCTCTATCTATAATGAACTTGGCCCAGTAGTTACAGTGGAAAATATTTTGTAAAAATTTACAAAAATTTACAAAATTTATGAAAATTGTAAAAAAATGACTATAAAGGGCAATAACTCCTTAAGGGGTCAATTGACAATTTTGGTCATGTTGACTTATTTGTAGATCTAACTTTGCTGTACATTATTGCTGTTTACAGTTTATCTCTATCTATAATAATATTCAAGATAATAACCATAAGCTGCAAAATTTTCTTAAAATTACCAATTCAGGGGCAGCAACCCAACAACATGTTGCCTGATTGGTCTGAAAATTTCAGGGCAGATAGATCTTGACCTAATGAACAATTTTATACCATCATATTTGCTCTAAATGCTTCGGTTTCAGAGATATGAGCCAAAAACTGCATTTTACCCTATGTATTATTTTTTTGCCATGTCGGCCATCTTGGTTTGCGGGCAGGGTCATCGGACACATTTTTTAAACTAGATACCCTAATGATGATTGTGGACAATTTTGGTTAAATTTGTCTTAGTAGTTTCAGAGGAGAAGATTTTTGTAAAAGATTACAAAAATTTACGAAAAATGGTTAAAAATTGACTATAAAGGGCAATAACTCCTTAAGGGGTCAACTGACCATTTTGGTCAAGTTGACTTATTTGTAGATCATACTTTGCTGAACATTATTGCTGTTTACAGTTTATCTTTATCTATAATAATATTCAAGATAATAACCAAAAATGGCAAAATTTCCTTAAAATTACCAATTCAGGGGCAGCAACCCAACAACGGGTTGTCCGATTCATCTGAAAATTTCAGGGCAGATACATCTTGACCTGATAAACAATTTTACCCCATGTCAGATTTGCTCTAAATGCTTTGGTTTCAGAGATATAAGCCAAAATCTACATTTTACCCCTATGTTCTATTTTTAGCCATGGCGGCCATCTTGGTTGGTTGGCGGGGTCATCGGACACATTTTTTAAACTAGATACCCCAATGATGATTGTGGCCAAGTTTGGTCAAATTTGGCCCAGTAGTTTCAGAGGAGAAGATTTTTGTAAAAGTTTACGGACGACGGACGCAGGACGACGGACGACGGACGCAAAGTGATGAGAAAAGCTCACTTGACCTTTCAGGTCAGGTGAGCTAAAAATGAGTAAAAAAAGATACACTTTCTGTGCATATACAATACATTTTTCTCACAAAACTTTCGTCATATATGCTTGTTACCAAAAGATTACAACTCTGTGGATTCATTTTTATTCATGGGACATCAATTTTCATGGGTTTCGTTTTTTAATGTTCAAACAAGTACAAATTTTCTATAGCCTTTTATGCTACTTAGTCAAAATCTAATATCCATGAAAATAATTTTTTTCATAAATCCAGGAAAAATCGATAAACACGAAAAAAATACGTATCCACAGTATAATCATTTGACCATTTCACCAAGATGTCTAGGGTCAAGTTAACATTAGTAATTTGCAACCTTAATTTTAGCACAATTTCATGATTTTATGAACTGAAAATTAACAAACAAAAAAGCTTTTATAGTGGATTTTCAACAAGGAACGTACATATAATGCAGGAAGTACTTAAGGACTTGTACCAATACAATTCCATTTCACAAATAATGAAACGTAAAAGTTTATCTGTCGTCTTCTCTCACCAAGCAGACGGCTATTCAAGGCAACTTTTAGATTGTTCCCAGAATGGACAAGATTTAGAAATTGATCTACACATAATAACAAATAACAAACAAAAACATGAATATATACATCCTAATAACCTTAATTAGTACACAGATAAAAAAGAGGGTCTGGTTGGGGTTTACAGAATAGAAAATAATGGTAAAAAAGATGTAGAATAAAAGGCAAAAACAATAAATAATAGAGAAAAATAAGCCAAACAGATAAAGACTAGAGAATATTAAGGCATTAAAATATAAAGAAAACAGAATCATGCCAAAAAAAGATGAAGAATAGAGAAAAATGATCCAAAAAATGAAAGAATAAAGAAATGAAGGACCCCCATCCAGACCCTCATAAACAAATAAAAAACACAATGTAAATTAACCTTAGATCACTTATTAACAAATATGACACAAAAAAGTGTAGTTTGCATTGATTAAAATAAAATTGCATTGTAAGTTAGTCTTTAAAAAAAGTGTGTCAAATAATATGCCTCATTTTTGGTGTAAAACCATGGCCTTAAGAGTGACTAAAGATTCTTAACATATTTAGTCAAGCACCTTTCTCAAGTTTTAAACATCAAAATAAGTATAATTGTATCATAAATATAAAAGCATAAGCATTTTCCCATAAATGAATTAGTACTAAAAAGCTCTTTTAAACATTTCAACAATAATTCATAACATTTAACAAAATCTGAAAGATGAAAAAATCTCATTCAAATTCAAGTGGAGAGCAAGATTTCAAACAAATCTAATCTCATGCAACAAATAATCACATTTTATCCTTTTAAAGCAGCACTATTTACACAATAAACCATGTCCTGCTCACATTATCACATGCATGTCCATATTTGGTGAACCAATCATGCGAAATATAGGTCAAAACTGTAATTCAGCATCTCTTTTAAAAAGTCCACATCACAAAAATGATCTTGTTTCCTATGTTAAAGAGTTGATGTGACTACAACATCAGTGTGTGTAAACTACCATAAACAAAAGAACTAATCTGTAAAAGGACGAACAAACAAACTTATGAACAAACTAAGATGGACGCACATAAGACCAGGAAGCATTATGCTTTGCAACTACAGTGTGTGTTAGGCAGGGCATAACAAAAATGCTGCAGCATGAATGAGACAATAGCTCAACAGAACAAATTGATAGGAGACATCTAGATGTCACCATACAGCCTTCTAGAGGTTACCAAACAGCAGGTCACCATACAGTTTTAAACATGGAAAAACATAATTAAATCATACAATGTCCAAATTTGATCAAAATTCTTTGTTCATAAATTTGTATCTATCACATGCACATTTTTTAATAAATTACTTGTCATTTAAATAGTAATACATCTGCATATGTACACAATTATTTCTAAATAGCTAATTGAAAATGAAAACCAATATTATCATTCTGAAAGTTTTAGTGTCTAAAAATAATGAAAGACTAAGTAGTTTTAATTTATTTTTCAGAACAAATTACTAAATCTGAATATTATCAACACTTCAAAATTTCATAACATACAGATCACACTAGCATATAGTTGCTGAAAATTTTACGGAAAACAGTTAAAAAAACATCCCATATTTATTTTTTTTTTTACTCTTTTGGAGGGTTATTTTTTTTTTTACGCTTTTAAACATATTTAGTATATGATGGGTTAATGCAGACAATGAGTTATTTGTATAATGCCACTTGTTTTAAAATACTCTCTTCTTAAATACAAGTCCTGAATGCCTTCCTTCTCCTGCATGAAAAGTGTGAATATCACTGGTAAAATAGTATGATACAATGTTTAATTTTTGGTAAATTTGCATGGCTAAATAAGCCCAAAACTGTATATTATTCCTTATAACTCTGTAACAGACAGTAATTTGATTTCAAAAAGATTCACCAATGTCAAACTAAAAGTTGTGTATATACTGACGATATATTTACGTCTAGTACTTGCAATGTGAAATTTAATTGTTTGGAAAATTTGAACACTTCTGGCGAAATTGCACAATAATAGTTAAAATCTTATACCTTGCATTTGTCAACATCTTTAAAAGACTACATAAGTTTATTTGTGGTATATTTCAGTCAATATTATGATTAAAATGATACTAAGATAGCCGTATTACATGTAGATTTGGAATTAATTACGGTACATAAAGCCATATACATGTAAAGCATTTGCAAAAATACATGTGGAAAATATGATGAAAACAGTTCAAACGGGGACCACAGAAAATTGTTATGTAATTGAAGAAAAAAGAAAAGAAAAAAATGTGATTGAAACTATACCATATTCTATTACAACTAAGTTTCAATGTTCAATTTATGCTTATTCTTATGGAAAAAACAATTAACAAATCATATAAAAAAATGTAAACATTAAGCTTGCTAAAATATCATTTTTTAACTTTCATCTAGATTTATTGGATATACTTTTTAAGCAATATCAATATGTAAATTACTATGATGATTAAGCAGTGCTGTCAAGATTCTGAATAAAAAGATTCACAAAAAAATATTATGATTATGTCTTGAGCTTCCTGAATCATTCAGTTTATGCGCTTCATAAAAAAAATCATTATTATTTATAATTTCAAAATCAAATACATGATATCATTAAGTATTTGATAAATGTACTAACAAATATTGTAGGAATTTTAAATATTAAATTTACTATCTAATGAACACATGTTATGCAGATCGACTGCTGAATATCAAATACAATAACATTTCATCCTATATTATAAGTTCATGATTATTCATCATAACTTAGATTGTGTATTTAATATCTTAAAAACATCTAATTTCATAAATTAATAATGGAAAAATGATTAACAGCAGTTTAATGAATCATGAAATTTTTTTCTCAATTTCTCTTACAGAATTTTTACTATGATTTACGATTTGGTTTTAAATGGTTTTTGGTTGGACTTTTAATGTACTATCAGACTTCATTCAACCAATCAGAATTAATCAAATTTTTTAATTCATGCTTCATGTTGTCACAAAATATAGTAATTTTTAAAAAACAATTTCAAGCATTTTTTACAATATATTGACAGTCATGGGTGATTTAATGCTGTCGTCTGCAGCTAAATTGTTGATTAAAAAATCAACTCAAACATATTCAGTTTTAGAAATAAAATTTCATCTTATTTTCAAAAATTCTTCAACAACAACTTTTCACTTAAATATAACAATTTTACACTTTATGACACACATACATTGTACATACACTATAGCTTGGGTGGATTTTGAAATTTCCTGTCCATGGTGGGCATGCACAGATTCAGACGGTGTATACCTGGTTGGTAACCCCCCCCCCCCCAAAACAATGGACAGGTAGAAATGAAAAAATCCACCTGAGCTTTAGTATACCAAAATTATAACAATAATAATAAAATATAGCATGGCTTTAATCCAGACCTGCAGGTCTAACATCTTTCGGCATTATACTAATAAGCGAAATTAATTTATCTGCAACCCACACTGGCAATAATGGATAAAGCATCATGATGAAGTCTGCTCCTGTTCCACAGGGATAGCGATTTCTTGGCCGCTTGGACAACAAACCACTTCTCATGGCTCTTATTACACAGGTCAGATCATCTGGGTAGCGATTAGAACCTTCAACGATACTCTCGTATATACTGTCAAAATATTTCTGTCCATATGTAACTTTTGTCTCTTCGTCCATCGTATCCCATAATTCTGATTTTCTACTATTTATCACATGCTCTTTCATATTTTCTGGTAAAAAAAATGATTTCAAATATCAAAAGAGTAATGGAGTACAAAAAATGACAAGAATTTTCATAATTTTATATTGGCTGTTCAAGAAAAAAAGGTACATTTTGTTTTGTGAAGGCATTTTTTTTTATCAAAACATTTATACTATAACATACCCAAGAACCTACTGCCCAGAGAAATGTCCCTTCGAAAACTTCAAATAACTTTTTTCTGTCCATTATTACACATTTCATTTCCTATAATGACATTATTGCTATTTCTTAAATTTTGCTTCGATCTCTCTATGAAATTTTTTTTATCTCAAGCTACTAGACTGATACAGGTGCTCTTAGTTCAGCCAAGTGAGAAAACAATGACTTCAGAAAGCTAGTCTGAAATTGCCTAAAAAAGCAATAAACAGTTTACCTATGGCTTTTGAACTTAAAAAAGTTTTTCGGCTACAACTGATCTCAAGGCTTCCGCACTTGAATGAGATTTTGGCAGAATTACTCCCCCTTGTTTTTAATCCATATAATAAATTAATGAAGTCTTTATTGTCATATAAACATAATAAGTCTATGACAAAAAAATAAAACAAAATAATATAGCAAAGAAATAACAATTCTATAAGAAATGAACACATGGAAAAAAGTATAAGACTTCTGCCCTCAGTTCTAATGACTGTTTTATTAAGGATAAACATGGTATAGTAAAGAAATTAGTAAGCACCTTAAAAACCTTTTTTACAGAGTTTCTGTAAGCTATTGGTCATTAAATTTTCAAGACATTGTAGTTATATTTTGAAATACTATTGTGAATTCATTTATTTTCATTGGTATCAATGATCAATAAATTTTCAAGACATTGTAGTTATATTTTGAAATACTATTGTGAATTCATTTATTTTCATTGGTATCAATGATCAATAAATTTTCAAGACATTGTAGTTATATTTTGAAATACTATTGTGAATTCATTTATTTTCATTGGTATCAATGATCAATAAATTTTCAAGACATTGTAGTTATATTTTGAAATACTATTGTGAATTCATTTATTTTCATTGGTATCAATGATCAATAAATTTTCAAGACATTGTAGTTATATCTTGAAATACTATTGTGAATTCATTTATTTTCATTGGTATCAATTTTCATGGAGTAAAGAAAAATCATATTATTGTAGATACTTGTTTTCAAGGTTGAGTCAAAGTCTACACTCAAGCCTATAGATGATTTGTATTTTATTAAACACTTAAATCTGCAGTTCAATTAATAATCAACCAATAATAATGCTTCCATAGTATTAAATTCAAGCGCTTGAAATTTCAGATACTTTCAAGCAATTTGAGGAATTCGGTTTGTCTACAGTAACCTTTACGTTATCTATAAATACCTGTATAAAATCCTGTTGGCTCTATTATTGAAACATGGACTCCCCACTTCTTCATTTCTTGTCTAAGTGTATCTGAGAAAGCCAGCAATGCATGTTTTGACATACTGTATGCCCCATTGCCTTCCATTGTTAACCTTCCTGTAAAATAAGTCATATGTATATATAATTAGGAATAAATAAGCACCATTTGGCAATCCTTTGTCCAACAAACTTTATACAGGGCAAGACAAATTGAAATGTAACTTGCTCTGTGGCTAGTCATTTAATGAAATGATATCTTATTGTGGAATCAAACTTTCATAGTCTGACAAAGTTTTTTTTTAGTTTTGCATTTTTGAATAAGACTTTCAGATTTATCGTGTACATTTTATGCCTTTCCTTTCCTTTTACCATTGAGTTAGCTGTATTTTTTCAACTTATGGTTTTTGATCATACCAAATTTTTGCTTGCATCACAACAGGTGTCACAGATAGAGTAGGATCTACTCACTCTTCCAGAGCACCTGAGATAACCCCTGGATTTTGTGAAATTTGTATTGCTCAGACTTGAGTTTTCTTTGACATGCTTTGTAGAATGTTGTTGGTTATGAGAACGTGATTAAACACCTTAGAAGTGGATAATGTCATAATATATAGTCTTTTATGAAAATTCTGATAAGCTACCCCAAATATTTATGTTCCTTTTTTTCATCTGAATTGTGAAACTTATGTAAGAACACATGGTGATATCTGCATGTTATTGATTAAAAATTGGTAAATTTAGTCTCACATACAATTTGCCACATAGTTCATTTTTTCCCTGCAATTGATAATTTTACTGTACCAAAAACAAATGCAATACTTTTTAAAAGTAGTATATAAGTAATGTCTAATTGTATCCTTCTTCTATGATTAATTTTATTAATGACAAAATATTGAAAATACTTTTTAACATCTCTATTTTGTTGTAAAAAATGAAAACAATAAATATTATAAATTATAAATTTAATGCGTCCAAAGCACTTTTCTGGATTTACCTTCATCAGTAACGCTCAAAGCCGAATATTTGAAAGCCATGGATGTATAAAACCGAAACAGTTGAAGAGCTATATTATCAAAAATGACCTAAAATAATAGCCAAATCCATCTAAGGACAACTTTGCCTGATGGAGTTGAAACCTTAGTTTCTTAAAATTTCAAAATTTATAAACGGGCAAGTTTAGAAAAGTTTGTTATTGTAAGTGTTACTTTATTCTAATTCTGTTTCTATGTGTTGTTTGTGTGTTGTTTGTGTGTTATTTGTGTGTTGTTTGTGTGTTATTTGGTTGTTGTGTAATTCAGAGTCAACCCACTTCCTCTTAATTCATATTTTCAAAAAATAAACATGTAATGTATATAAAGTCTATCCTTAAAATACTTTGCATTTAAGATTTTTGATAATGAGTTAGGTTTATTGGTAATTTTATCAAGAAAAGTCAAATTGTCATGAAAAGTCTAGTCTTAACTAGGTAAACCCAGTGGAAACCATTATTTTGCCATTAATATTTTTTAAGTTATTTCACCTTTTTAACCCTTGAACCATAAAAACACACAACAAATTGTTTTCATCTTTTAACATACCACTAATTGTTTTGACCCTTTAACATACCAAAAAATTAATAAATAATATCATTTAAGGATGTTTGCTACTCTGTTTAAAAATAACAAGCTTATAACACTGTTATAAATTGAAAGTATATGAATAATGGAACTAAAAAAGCAGAAAAAAAATTAAGGGTCCATGTGCATGTTTTCGAGATATAAGCCATTGAAAATTTGGCGGGAAATGCTTCTCTCTAGATTTTTCTTACATTTAACATTGGCACCTTTTTTCTTTCAAAAACTATGAAAAAATAACAAGGATTTTATAAGATTTTTAAATAAGACTTTTTAAGCTATATGTTATAATATTCTGAAAAAAAATGTAGGGGTTAGCGGGTAAATTTTTTTAATGACACTACAAGGATAAAACCAGAGGATTCTGAATATCTGGCAAAAATTCAAAAAATTCGTAAGGGTTCCGCGGAACCCAGTGTCTCGCCTACTTTTGCTGTTAATCGCAGGCTCAACAAAAATGAGGAAAAAAATAAATAAAAATATTCCTCTTTATACTATCTTTTGATTGTTAGTAGCTTCTGTCCAAGTTTGGTAAAAATCCAGGATAGTTTATGAATCTAATAAATGTTTTAAAAACTTAAACTGCAGACTGTATGTAATGTTAACTGGAAGAAAAACAAAGTCCATTTATAAGTAAAATACGGAAAAAATCAAACAAAATTTTAACAAAATTTCCTTCTAGATACTAACTTTTAATCATAAACAAGCTTCTGTCCAAGTTTGGTACAAATCCAGGATAGTTTAAGAAAGTTGTTAAAATTTTAAAAACTTTAACCACTGAGTGAATGTAATGTTAACTGGCAGAAAAGCTAAGTCCATTTATAAGTAAAATATGGAAAAAATGGATTTTTTTTTTTACAAAATTTACTTCTGGATACTATCTTATGATCATAAACAAGCTTCTTTCCATGTTTGATAGAAATCCAGGATAGTTTAAGAAAGTTATTAAAATTTCAAAAACTTCAATCACAGAGTGAATGTAATGTTTCTTGGCAGAAAAACTAAGTCCATTTATAAGTAAAATACGGAAAAAATGGATTTTTTTTTTTTACAAAATTTACTTCTGGATACTATCTTATGATCATAAACAAGCTTCTTTCCAAGTTTGGTAGAAATCCAGGATAGTTTAAGAAAGTTATTAAAATTTCAAAAACTTTAACCACAGAGTGAATGTAATGTTTCTTGGCAGAAAAACTAAGTCCATTTATAAGTAAAATACGGAAAAAATGGAATTTTTTTTTTACAAAATTTACTTTTGAATATTATCTTATGATCATAAACAAGCTTCTGTCAAAGTTTGGTAGAAATCCAGGATAGTTTAAGAAAGTTATTAAAATTTCAAAAACTTTAACCACAGAGTGAATATTTGTGGACGCCGCCGACGACGACGACGACGACGCTGACGGAATGTAGGATCGCTATGTCTCGCTTTTTCGACAAAAGTCGAAGGCTCGACAAAAAAGAGAAGCGAACATCCATAATCATATAAATTACCCATTAAACTGGAAACATTAACAATTCGTCCTTTTGATTTGCGTATAAGTGGCAGCAAGGCTTTTGTGAGTCTGATAGCACCAAATAAATTTATTTCTAAAACTTTACGGAATATCGTTTCAGATGTGGTTTCTAATTCAGAATAATACCAAACACCAGCATTATTGACCAGTCCCCATAAACCTGTAAAAAAAGTAAACAATTTTATAATCTGATATCAGATATACACCATATACTTTGTATGTCATGTATGTTATGTTGGTAAATTAAGACTACAAAAGAATGCAGTGTTATGGAATACAAGCATGAAAAATTCTGTCTTATTTAAAAACTTTTTAAACATGTTCAACTTGACCTGAATCATGCCTTTTATGTTAAATAGAGGATGTGATTAATAATAAAGAATTTGAAGTTTGTTTCTCCCATTTTTGTCTAATATTAAGGACTATCATGCAACATTTTGATTCTATAATTTAAATGAGGGTGGTAAAGGGGGGGGGGGGGGGGGGGGGGGGTCTGAACACAGAAACATGTGAAATAAAAATCGCAAAAACATTGCACGGAAAATAAAAATCGGGAAAAACGAAGCACGAGAAATAAAATCGTAAATATTAAGGAAAAAAGTACTAGAAGTTATTACTAAGCTGTTCTTGGAGATCATGCAGTCATTATTAATGGACATGAAGACACTGCGGTCACCTTTTAGCGTCGGCAAGATGCATCTGATTTGAAAAAAACTATTATTCATAGTAAAACAATATCCGGGCTGACTTTGAATGAGTCCCGGTTTACTTTTTAATCAAATGCGGGACAAGCACAAGAAATTAAGAGTAGCGACACGAAACACGGAAAATAAATAAGGGGAAACACGAAGCACGCACATCGAACCAAACACCAGAAAACGAGAAATAAAACGTCAAAACACGAAAACACGTAAAATAAAAAGACCGAAAACGTTGCTCGAAAATAACCCTTTACCACCCTCTTAAATATAACGCACCAAAAAAAACCAAACAAAAGGTTTTGACATCCTACAATGCAAACCAAAAATTCTCAGAATAATGCATAGAGCAACAAAACAGATGACATGGAGCAACAAAACAGATGTGACTTTGGAAGATAAGGAAAACGATTAAAATTAAACTTCTTTTATCATTTGCAATATAGGCTATTCCATTAAAATGCATGTGGGAGGGTAGGAAGGGAATTTTAATTATTGAATGTGGGTCATGGGTCTTTTTTCAGTATCCATCTATCATGTCTATCATGTCTATAACCATTATGCAAAATTATCTAAAAAATGGTTCTTGGTTGAAGGGATATTTTGAAAGTCCCTTCCTACCCTCCCACATACATTTTAATGGAATAGCCCTAAGAAGGTAGTGTAAACATATTCTATTAATCAAATTCAAGTTGAATAATATCCACAATTAGACTTTAACATATTAATACAACTGACTAATTGATAGGATCCAGAAACAAGCTGTTAACTTATATCAATCCGTTTCTAGGAAGGTATGTTAGGAAACTGAATAAATTGTAGTTACTGAGAAAAACCAAACAGCAGAGTGTAATGGTAGTACAAAAGTACTGAAAAATCAGTAAACCAGTATATATATCCCTCCTTTTTCACAGCAGGGTTACATAAAAAAATTAGCTTTTCCATATTTGTACAAACTTATGCAATCTGTAGAGAGCATCATTGTATTTATTGAAAATTGTAGAATAATTGATATTAATGTATGCAATAAATTTGGAATTCACATTATCATACCTTCTTCTCCTGTATGCTGTTTGACATATTCTACTGTTGTTTCTATATCTTTCTGTGATGTAACATCAAGTTGTAATAAATGAACCCTATGAATTACGAAATGAAAAATTCATTATCTCAATATTTTTCATCCAACATTCACTAATATTTAGTTTTTATGTTACAAATATTAATCATTTGAAGCACTTAGGTTTTTCAACACACTTAGCTGCTTAGCAAGAATTGGCAAAATATTTTTCACTTTTCACTGCTTTTGAACTTCCTAATAAAATTGGTCCTCAATCTGTATTGATTCAAACGTCATTTATAAGTCTGAAGAGGGCAAATTAGGTCTTGCATACTAAATAATAAGTTTGGTATCTTGATGACCTTTAGCAGTCAAGGATATAACTTTACAAGTTATTACAGATAATAATAGGCATACTGTTATTGTGGGAATTCTGACAGAGTTATCTCCTCCTGTCATGAATTGTGTTGAAATAACATGTCCGTTATTGTACAAAGAAACAATGTCTGTAATAACGCCTTTAAGTTATCACAGACATTTTTGTCGGGTGAAACGCAAATCAGGTCAGATACTTTCAAATTTACCTCTGTTTGTTTTGTTGTTAAGATCTCGTGTGATTTCAACATGTTTACATTATTATTTGTGTCATTTTCGGTGAAACAATGTAGGCATAGCGATTATCAGTTTGTTGCATTTTTTATGATAACTTCGCCTTGAATATATTTTTTTAGCGAAATTGATTTAATATTTACAAGTATTTGAGATTATTTTAGCAATTCGTCAATGATACTTTACGATTAACTCTGTCAGAATTCCCACAATAACCATATGCCTGTTATTTTCTGTAATACTTTGTTTAAGTTATACTGTAAATTCAGAAATTATTGCGATGTTTTTATTATTGCGAAAAATGCGACAGGATTATAATCGCAATAATTTAAACTCGCATTTTGAAATTTTTTATATGAATTAAACAGGATTTTTCTCAATATCGCAAAAATTAAAATCGCATTTTAGTCTAAAATGACAAAATCGCAATAATAAATGCACGCAATAATTTCTGAATTTACAGTACCCTTGACTGTTTAGTGTTTGATACAGTAATCTAAAATATTAGACATGATCAATCAGGATTAAACAGGACTAATTCATGGTGACTTTTGCAATGAACAGTGAAATGAACTCAATAGTTTTAATGCCTCATGTTTTTTTTTCAATTTTCAATTTCTAAAATCACAATTTGGAACAAGATATATAAGGCTAATCAGTGAATGGGAGTACTACCCACAAGAGATCAAATATAGGAGATACGATAAATATCAACATGTCTTCAGGTGATCATGGTGATCTATAAGTTGATGTAATTATAACTACAGACAACAATTTCATTCAATTAAATTAAAAAATTTGTGTGTTGTTGCATTTCTTTCTCATTTATCCCACATACATTTGACCTACGTGACATAGCTTTTTATCTAGTTGATATTCTTGATTTAAACTTGTCCTTATGGTATTAAATATCTTTCTCATGCCCCATCAACTGATTGCAAGTTTGGATGGACAGATCATCATTCCATCAATAATAATGAATTAAATATTGATTTCAATGGTATTTTTGAACTTGGTACAAGTGACAAGTACCTTCCTGAACAAGCTAACTGTAGGGACACAGCACCAGGACTGTTTAAACTCAAGCATGTGGCAAACACCCTCATCCCAATACTGTCTAATTTCTTTACTAAACTGTTACCGAAACCACTGTCACATCCTAGAATATAAAAAAAAATCTCAGTTAATCAATGACTTTTATAAGCATAAGAAGATTTGAAGAACAAATTGTTAACAACTACAGTGGTGGATTTGTAGGCCCCCTTTGCTTTGATCAGAAAATAAATTCATTTTTAGCATAGAATCGTCCATAAAAATGTATATAAAAGTTTTCTGGTATTAAGCCCTGAGTGGCCTCCCTTGCAAAAATCCTGGACCTGCTCCTGATCTATACATCCCCATTTCCATTCTCAATTTTATGCTATGAGTAGAGCATTGTATCATAAAATGTCAATTATTGATAATAATATATATATTATATATTAAACTTGTTTTTGTGACATGGTCATGATGGTTGAGGAAATATGCATTTCGTCTTTAAATCATTTGAGAAACAAATTCCACCATCCTACATTGTATCTATTGGGATAAAATATTCTCCACTCTAGCAATGGCTAGACAGTGAAATTTTTAATATCTAAATTTTAAATTTTAAACATGTTAAATGTCTGGAGAAAGTCATCATATCAAACTTGCTATGCTTGATGCAGTGATAGAATCTATATACATGTACATGTAAATACAGACAATCAGGGGTTTACCAATTTAACTTCTTTTAAAATACATTTCTCAATTGAATTGTTTCATATTTTTCATGTGGGGGCCTTTTATAGCTGACTATACCATGTATACGGTAGGGTTTTTTCTCATTGTTGAAGGCCGTACGGTTGCCTATCATTGCTTACTGCACTTTATTTGAACTTTGATGGATAGTTGTCTCATTGGCAATCATACCACATCTCCTTATTTTTATACTAACACTAATAATAAAATAATACTTGTGTTTCCGTCAACATGCAGCATGATGCTAATTGCTGAAAAAAATTAAGGTAGGTAGGTACATGTACATTAGGTCGATCATGTGGCCAATAATTTTATTTCTTGAAAGTTTTTGACTTTTGACAATGTTTGACAGCAAACAGTCTGACTTTAATAGTGCTGGTTCTTAAATGACAGAGAAAACTTTTATCATGTTTATAGGATATATATAGACACTAAAAATCAGGGTACAAATGAAGGTAGGGTGAGCATGACAAGAGGAAACACAAATATTTTTTTAAATAGGCTTAATTAACATTTACTGGAAGGTAAATTCTGAGATTTAATTTTTCTACTCCAGATTGAAAAAATTTTCCCTCACGTTTCTCAAAAAAATTCTCTTTTTACTATTAACAGATTAATGAATTTCTCAAGTTTTGGGGATCGAGTCATAATCTGTTTAAAATATAGTTTGTATATATATAGTAAAGACAACTATCATTACTATAAGACAGGCAATTAAACGCTTTATTAGAGCAATTAACATGATATAGTAAACAAATTCCAGAAAAGAAGAAATATGATTTCCATTCTTACAAATGTATAAACATTGATAAAAGTAAAAAAAATAAAAATCTGAATAACTAAAGTTGATACATTGTCTCTACCCCCAAAAATATGTACATTATGTGTATAAATGTCTATATGTGGATTTAGCTAATCTTCTAGAATAGAAAAAGGAAAGGGTGTACTGATAAGGTCAATTTTTGTGGACCCTGTAGTTAAAAAAGCAATACATGAATGTATTATAATTATGTAGCAGATATATGTACTAGTCATCACTGGTCATTCCAGCATTTTGACCGTGGAAGTTCTTAATGTGGGTGTTAAGATCACATTTTAAAATTTTTTTTGCATTTCTCTTTCATAGCCATATCATTGATAGCTGAGTTTACACCTGTAATGCAATTATCAAATACATGTACACAATGATTTTATCAGCTGGTCAATCAATTAACAATCAAACCCTCAAGCATGTCAAGGCACAAATCTACAATGTCAATTTCTAACTAAACATGCTTAACATGCTAAAGTTCACTAAATTGGTTCAACTTAAACATGTTAAAGATTACCAATCTGTGTTCCTGCTAAGCAATAGACCACTTTCGAGTTGCATTTCCTTCAAAAACTTTGGTTTTAATGAACATCATTTGTGTGTTTAGGGGTATCCTCACTTCCTTCCCACATGTCACATGTTGAGCGATCGGTTGAAAAAATAGATTTATTCGGCAAATTAAATTCTTATAATTGAAAATCAGCACTGCTGTCATTACGGAATTGTGATTAAGTACCTTTGGAACAACAATTATTTCTAGTTTATCCTGCATAATGACAATCATGAAGACGCTTGATGAACTTTAATAGTACAGGGATAGAGGCGGTCCCTTCTATCTACAATGATCTAGTAAATGACATCATAAAGGTGTGTATAATTGACGAACTTTTCTGATGAAGGACATAACTCGAAAGTGGTCTATCATATTACTCTTAAGCAAAATATCTACCTGTAACAAGTACGGCTTTGTTCCCAACTGGAAGATGACTGGCAGGCAAGATAGAGTAGATAACCAGACAACACATTGCAAATGCAAACACACCGCTAGGTCCTTTAATGAAGAACTGGCATAAGGGTTCCCCTAAAAACAGCACAGCTAAACTTAAAACAGATCTAAATCCAAATCGAAATTCATTTGTCAAAAATTTTGACAGGACTGCCATGGCAAAGAGAACAGTTACACTTGAATACAAGACAGAATAGAAAATAATGTCATCATCTAAGTATTCGTCATAATCGATATTAGTATTCATGATTGATTCAGTGGGAGGGAGCTTAAAAGTTAATATAATATTCTGGAATTACGATAAAATTAGCATTATTTGGTTAAGCATATTGTTCATCCAGCATCCATTTTCAAACAATTTCCGAAAAGTGTAAACAAACTGAATTTTGATTGGTCTGATTATTTATAACGGGGATAGCTGTTGGTTTATCTAAAATTTGACCTTACATGACCCTAATTCATTAAAGATGTCTGCGCCCATGGAAAATATCCTGCTGGCTCTTATTCTATTTTTGAGCACGTTTATAGGTGTCATAGTGCGTAATTCTAAGTATTAAAAGTATCAGGTGTAGCTAAAGTATGATCCTCACATGACATGCAATTTAGTATTGATTATTTGTCGCACAATCTAAGTTTTTTAACACTGAAAAATTATCGCACATCTTTATCTACAAGTTATGTATTTGTTTTTCAGATCTGTGACTTAAAAATAAAAGGACATGCATGAAAATTAATTTTTCAATTTCATTGTCCCACAATGTTTACCTGCAAATGGCTGTTTTGGGAACACTTCTCTGTTCAAACATTTTTACAATTATTCAAACTCCTCTTACTGTCTTAGGAGGATCCATGTCAACTCATACCTTCACTAGTCCAAATAATTATGACATCTTGAAAGGCTATTTTATTTTTTTGCTTTGACGCCTTACATCGCTGTAAGGCGTCAAAGCAAAAAAATAAAATAGCCTTTCAAGACGTCATAATTATTTGGACTTCAATACCTTCACCAAGTCATACCTGATTTTACTGACTTGTACTTTCACCAACTCATACCAAATTTTCAGTTGTATTCATATGTAGTGTAGTACAGTGCATGGCCAAAATTATTTGTCACCTTTCTTTTTTGCTACATACATGTACATGTATAAACCGCATTTTTTCAAAAAATTAGTTTGAAGGCATTTCTTGTTCGTTTTTAAAGAACAAGGTGTTAATAGACGCAGAATTGTCTAAAGTATATTTGGCTCTAGTTTTGTTGTCAATTATTTTTGTTTTCTCTTAATATGAACATGAATAATGATTTTTTACAATATAATCTGGTTGAAATATTTAGCAAATTTATGAACAAAAATACAGTACGCACAGAGAGTTTGTAATCGCAAACTCTAATCACGGATTTCGGAGTGTAGCGGTGTCACACCGCGAATCACGGATTATACTCCCAATTTCCTCCAAAGATTCTCTCCCAACACCGCGTGGCTGTTAATTGGTTTATTGCCCATCGGATGTACTGAAAATTAATGACGCGTGACAACATAATCGGATTAGCCAGATTTATTACCTTTGTACATTTAATCGATCTTGATTGCACGTGTGTGCTTTAAAACATGGTATTAAAATTTCCTTTCTTTGACAGATAAAAATGTGACATTTTCATTCAAAATAAGATAATTATTCTTGTATGTTTTTGCCCCATGTCATTGTCATTTGAAATAAAACGTACAAACGTATAAAAATACGAATAAAACACTTATTTTGTATTTTTATTATAGTCCGGTCAGGTCATAATTTTTGTTTTTTCAACAAAGACGATTTTACTACAATTAGAATCTTTTATGACCTACTCAGTGAGCAATATCCGGTTCATTAATTGTTCAATATATAAATATCAACTGGCTTAAAACAAAATGATGTTCTTACGGTAATTTGTCCAATCTAAACCCAAGAGTTAATTTATCGGATCAACAAGTGAACTCTTTTACTTTCAATTTATTTTGCAATGTAAAATATTATGTTTCACTACCTCAGTAGATTACCGACTTGAAATATTTGAACTCGGAAAAGAAACTGTAAAGTGACAACTCTGTTGAACGAAAGGAAAACTTTTTGTATGCAATGTGCCCTATATTCATAAAAACACAACACTGAGAGACAATCCCCGCCCAGACACAACACAATAATCACAACCTAATTTAATTATATGAAGAAAAAAAAATCATGTGTTGTTTATCTCTGTTATGATCTGTTATTGATCCTTTATTATTTAAAATAAAATTGGATGGGCGCAATCCGTATTTTACTGCTCGTTAAAAGTCCTTGGCGAAATAAAAAAAAAAGAAGTATTTCAACAATTAATACTATAGAATATTTAAATGAAATTATATTGTGTTCTACAAGAAAGAAATATGTGAAAAAAATGTGGATCGGATTTTTACGATCTACACATTTTCACAGAGGATCTCTACCAACGCCCAACAGGAACTGAACGACATGCATCCTGTTTTCATCTACCATTTATGTATATTGTTGACCATGGACGTATAAATAATGTCCAGGTTTATGTCCTGTGTTGACTGAGAAACGTAGAATTAAAAGGCTGGTGTTCGTTTATTCAGAAAAGGATTATATTTTAGATTCCGGTTAATCAATTGTAAAAGGACCTTCTAGAGCCTCAATCTTAAGGCATACAAATGTCAATCATTCCAAAGCAAATTTAAACCCCGAATGAATTTTCCCACGGTCATCCAGAAAGGTCACCTGAGTTTACTGTTACGTGATAATATTTCCCGCCAAATAAAAATCTCGTGGACAAAATTGATGTCACTATTTTTAGCATTCAATATTGTGAGCGAAGTCAAGTTCAAAGTTCAACCACGGACTGTCGATCACTGAGATGTGTACCGTCTTCCCACGGCAATTAATTTCTTTTAAAAAAATTAAAAATCACTGTCCTTTATACAACACACAAGTTTACATTCATTGTGCGTAAATGAATATTATGCAACGACGAGTTGATGCAGCTATATAAGTATTCCTGTTGTAGCCGAAATGTAATTATTTATCCTAAAGTAATGCCAACAAATCGTAAAGAGAAAATGCCGTAGACTTATTAAGCATAACGAATGGTGAATAGTATTTTCTTTTTTACTTGCATATACAAATTTTGAGACACGTAATTTTCTTTAAACTGCTCACTTTTATATTCAGCGTTAGTTTCCGTTTATTTTTACGCAAGTATGTCTCTTTTCGTAAATAAAATAATTTACCGATGAACTTAAACAAGGTCAAAATCAAGTATAGTTTTTGTTATAAAACTTTAATGCAATTGAAAGAATTAACAACAACATTCTGCTTTTAAATCTTTAATTTGTTTCAAGCAATTATGTAATCGTAAAATGAAAATGGCGTGGACTTATTAGCATAACGAATAGTGAATAATATTTTCTTTTTTACTTGTATACAAAACTTTGAGACATGTAATTTTCCTTTAAACTGCCCACATTTATTCAGCGTAAGTCTCCGTTTATTTTTACACAAGTATATCTCTTTTGTAAATTAAATATTAATTTACTGACCAGAAAAAAAAACGAGGTAAAAATCAAATATAGTTTTTTTTTAATAAAACTATTTTTAAATGTACAGTGTAATTGAAAGAATTAACAACAACGTTTTGCTTTTAAATCTTTTATTTGTTTCAAGCAATCAGAAATATAACCTGATTATCAATAGACAGGAAATACAATTGTTTAATTACATATGTAATCTCACATACCTTGACTGTCGCGTGCCGGTATAGATCAGAAGGATTAGGGCAATTAATTACCTGGTGTGACACCGCGTCACACCGGACTGGGAGAGATGTCGCTAATACAATAAACAAAAGGTAGCGAATTTACGCGGAAGTCGGAGGGAATTCTCCCAAATTTCTCCGAGAATTTAGGGAGGGATGTCGGAGTTTCCTGGTGTCACACCAAGAAAAAACTTGGTGTTCGGAGTTTGGGAAGCCTTTCGCGAAATTTGTACTGTAATACTTGTTTTTGTACATGTTGCATTGTATAACATCAGAAATTAAAAACACTCCACAACAAAAATATAACTAAATAAACTAATAAGCCTGTGACAATTCTACTTCTATTGGTACCAAGCGGATTTAAAATTCAGTAATCATCATGATCATGGTAATGTCCCCTCAATATTTTTTGAAAAAATGTAGTTTTATATGAAGTATATAGTGAAAATTCACAAGTGACAAATGCTTTTGGCTATGTACTGTATTAAGAATTTATCATATACAATTTTGAAAAACTCAGAAAAATAGATATTTGCAATTGAAATTATAACATATACATTGATATAAAACATGTAAAATAAATAAACATTTTTTTGTCATATGTTGGACCTAAATTCTGATCAAATTCAGTTTTAATTGAGAAGTTAATAAAAACTTAATTTCATAATAAATGGAGCACTTTGAATATCAAAGTCCTTTCACTGCCTTTCATTGACTCAAAGATATACTTTTATCGTTTATATTTTACTTTTACCGGAATAGATAACCTAGGCGTTTGGCAAACATGGCAAAACCTTTCGGACTTTTGGGTCTCAATGCACTTCAGCCTCGTAATTTATTTGGCCTTTTTAACTTTTTTGATTTGAGCGTCTCTGATGAGTCTTTGGTAGATGAAACACATGTTTGGCGTACACAATTTTAAGCCTAGTATGTAAGATGAGCATTATTTACATTTCTAATTCAGTAAAATTCTCTTCAGATTTCAATCTCCAGATGAAGAGGCCTGTGTCCTCATTTACCAACAAGGAGAAAACTGATTAGTTCGCTACTTCACAATGAAAGAGGTTTAACAGTCAGGGGTACTACTTGTACAAGTTATTTTTATGTACTTGAAGTAGTAAATATTAATATACTTATATAAGTAAATTTGTAAGATACTTATACAAGTGTATTTTATTTACTTGTATAGATAAATTATTTTAATGGCTTAGTTATGTCCCTTAGACATTCAGATTTTTTTACTTATACAAGTAAAAAAGTCATACTATCTTCTTTTCTTGAATTTCTCAGGACTTCTTTGCTCTAATAGAATTTTTAATTATCTGTCCTTTGCAGATGTCTTTACTAATCATTTAAGTGTAATTTCATGGACAATGAAAATCTCATTTGTCTGTTTTCTTCAAAAGACTGCTTATTTACAAGCCTCCAAGGAGCAATTTTTGAAGGCCTTTCGCAATAGACAACTTTTGAGTTGGTTGCATTTCCGTTAAAAACTTTGTTGTTAGTGAACATCTTTCGTGCGCTTAGGGGCGTCGTCACTTCCATTCCTATGTTGAGCGATTGGTTGAAAAATGATAATGCTATATTGCACGAATTATTCAGCAAATTAAATTCTTATAATTGATATTCAGCACTGATATCATTGGGGAATTGTAATTAAGTACTTACGGAACAAATATTATATCTAGTTTATCCTGCATAATGGCGATCACAAAGACGCTTGATGAACTTTAATAGAGCAGGGATACAGGCGATCCCCTCTATCTGGTAAATGACGTCACAAAGGCGCACAAAATTAACAAACTTTTCCGGTGAAGCCAGGACTTAACTCAAATATATGGTCTATTACTTAAGATCTTTGTTCAATTAATTTCTTTGTTGAATTAATGAGATGAAACATTGAACTCTAATAAAAATCATGAGCTAGCCAGAGAAAAATTGTTTAAGGCATGTTTTTACATCCCAACAGTCAGGGGTACTACTTATACAAGTGATTTCAGAATCACATCTTTAAGTGATTTTGGCTTTGAAAAATTGAAAATTTTCACAAAAAAAAGACAGACTTTTTAAAATCACTGAAACAAGTAATTTTAGAAGTAACAATGTAATCACTTCAATAAGTGTTAATAACATTTTCTTGATATTTTTCCCACAAACTTGATTTTTTTATTGGTTAAAAGACAAGGATTCCATTTAAAAAAACAACTATATACATGCAGAAATTATCTTTTGCTTGATGAGCCTGTCAGTTTTAACAGTTTATCTAAAATATGCATAAACTGGAATAATTTGTAGATCAGGACATACATGTAACCTTGAAGTAGATCATTCTAACTCTAAAGAAGACCAATCAGGTTAATTAAAACTGTTGACCTTTGTCATGTTTGTTTGATTGTAAGAATAGTTAATGAATATTTGATTATAGAAAAATTCCCAAGGGTACTTTTAAAAGCTTTAGCACACTAACTTACTGCCCAAGGGCACTGGTGAAATTGAAATACAAGAGAAAGGGATAATTGATCTATGTAGGAAAATTACAGAAAAATTAGTCAAAATATGGAAAATTAATGAAATTTACATTTGAAGATCAAAGGAAACACCAAAATCACTTAAGTAGGTGATAACTGAATTTATCAAATCACTGAAATAGGTGATAATGAACTCACTTGTTTAAGTAGTACTGTACCCCTGACTGCCCAAAACTTGAGAATTTTAGGGATTGTAAAAAAAAATTACTTATACAAGTAAATTTTTTGAGAAAATTAAGGGGAGATTATTCAAACCTTATAAGAAAATATGAATATAACAAATTTACTTTAATAAGTATATTATAATTTACTTCTTCAAATAAATAAAAATAACTTGTACAAGTAGTACCCCTGACTGTTTAAGCAGCATTCCAAACAAAGCCATCATGTTTGTCGAGAAACATTTACCAATTTTTTTTCACCACTAGATCAGAGACATGCTTATCAATTATAAAATTAAAAAAAGCACAATGTTTACCATTTATCTATTTAAATGACACATAACAATGCTATACTAATGGGTATGAGTTGGTAGACGTACCAGATGGTAAAAGAAAGAGTTGAGTTGGTTGAGTACAAGCATGACAAGTTGGCAAAGGTACCAGTTGTTGTGTTCCCCTCTTAGGATTGCCAATTAATATTGATAAAAAAATATACAAAACTGAAGATGAAGGATTGATTCTCATAGTGAGGGTACTTTGGCCACATTTTTAATTGAATTTTTCTGAACATGCTGAAGACTCAGCTACACTAAAATGACTAAATGTGTCATTAAGTCCATAAGAGACACCCTTGAGAGAACACTGAATGTGTCATTAATTCCTTGAGAGAACACTGAATGTGTCATTAATTCCTTGAGAGAACACTGAATGTGTCATTAATTCCTTGAGAGAACTTTGAATGTGTCATTAATTCCTTGAGAGATCACGAACAACATGACTCAATATGTCATTAATTCCTTGAGAGAACACTAAATGTGTCTAATTCCCTGAGAGAACACTGAATATGTCATTAATTCCTTGAGAGAACACTGAATGTGTCATTAATTCCTTGCGAGAACACAGAATGTGTTATTAATTCCTTGAGAGAACACTGGATGTGTCATTTATTCCTTGATAGAACACAAAATGTGTCATTAATTCCTTGAGAGAACACTATACATGCTATTCATGTATTTGTCCTTATTTCCTTGAGAGAACACTATATTTGTCATTATTTCCTTGAGAGAACACTAAATGTGTCATTAATTCCTTGAGAGAACAATAAATGTGTCATTAATTCCTTAAGAGAACACTGGATGTGTCATTTATTCCTTGATAGAACACTATACATGATATACATGTATGTGTCATTATTTCCTTGAGAGAACACTAAATGTGTCATTAATTCCTTGAGAGAACAATAAATGTGTCATTAATTCCTTAAGAGAACACTGGATGTGTCATTTATTCCTTGATAGAACACTATACATGCTATACATGTACGTGTCATTATTTCCTTGACAGAACACTATATTTGTCATTATTTCCTTCATGTCCTTGAGAGAACACTATATGTGTTATTATTTCCTTGAGAGAACATTACATGTATCATTTATTCTTTGAAAGAACACAAAAAAAACCAACGGCCTTATTTATGTTCAAAACAACAAACAAAAGCAAATATGATACATGTATACAGCAATAAATGACAAACACTGAATTACAGGCTCCTGTCTTGGGACAGGCAAATATAGAATATATGGCAGGGTTAAATATGCACCCAACCCTCCCCTAACCTGGGACAGTGGTGCAACAGCACAAGACAAGATCTGTATCTTTTCCAGAACTCATCAACAAAAATGTTTTCTAATATATATATACGAAAAACCTACATTTCAAAATTTCGTTTCTTTTAGACTGATGAAGAGTTTGAAGGATTGAGAACATTTACATTAGAACATAGCTTTGACACAGGTGAGTCTTACTACTTAGATGATCATGATAATTAAAATAAACAATGTGCAAGATTCTCATTCCAATATTAAGGAAAGGGAGATACCCAGGATAAGATGTACAATATACCCTATCTTAGAGCCAGAGGGGTCATACTATTACAAGAATTTTTTATTAACTGGTTCTGGTTTACAATTTTAAAGTGAGTTATCTCCCCAAAACGCATGTCTGGCCTACAAAATTATAATCCTGGTATCTTTGACTTTTTTAGTCATGCAGGCCTAGGTTTATATACCTTTAAGAGTAAAAGGTTATATTTTTTCTTTTCTATAATTTTTCTCAATCATGTTGCTCTAATTTAATGATTAATTGTCTGTCTTCAAAAGTTGTCTTTACTGTTGATAGAATTATAATTTCATGGACTGTGAAAATCTCTGTTAATCAGTAAGTGGACAGAAAGTCACAAGAACGAGAGTCACAAATTTGATAAGACAAAAAGTCACAAAAATTTTGTTTTTATAAATTGTTTGAATTTATAAGAGTAGGCTCTTGAAATGATTTCTTTTTAGTACATATATATTCATTTAACAGTAAGAAAATTATTCACAATCCTTGATAAATGAAGATTTTCCAAATTTAAATCATGCAAAGGAGATATTTCTTCGCAAAGTACCAAGCCAGTTTGACAAATTATTTTCTTAACAATTATTGGATCATTAGTGATTTTTTTTAGAATAGATTTTGTTAACAAAGTTGCATTGTATATAATTAGTTCAACATTGTTCAAGGAAAATACGAAAACGTTTTAAGAATAAGTGTTTTCTTACTTCAAAGAAAAATAATCTCTGTCTTGAAATAAAGTTTGAATTTTATTAAAAAAAAATTTTAACATGATTAAGAAAACCATAAAAAATGTTTAATATAAACCAAGGAGATGTACTGTGGTATGGTTGCCAATGAGACAACTATCCACCATAGTTCAAATGAAGTGGATGTTAGCAACTATAGGCAACCATACAGCCTTCAACAATGAGAAAAATCCATACTGTATAGTCAGCTGTAAAAGATTCTGACATGAAAAATATGAAACAATTCAATTGAGAAAACTATAACAAACCATTTGATACACATGATACATGTTCTTACCTTCCAAACATTGAGAATTTCAGGGATTGTAAAAATAAATTACATGTATTTAAATAAATTTTGGAGCTGCATCGGAAAAAAAGGGTGCATCATATATAAATAAGAAGATGTGGTATGAGTGCCAATGAGACAACTCTCCATCCAAGTCAAAATGTGTAAAAAGTAAACAATTATAGGTCAAAGTACAGCTTTCAACATGGAGCCATGGCTCACACCGAACAGCAAGCTATAAAGGGCCCAAAAATTACTAGTGTAAAACAATTCAAATAGGAAAACCCAACGGTCAGACCGTCTAATCTATATAAAAAAACGAGAAACACTTATGAACCACATCAACAACAGGCTCCTGACTTAGGACAGTTGCATACAAATCCTATGCCCACCGTGTGTTTATATAGGACACCACTAATTGTTTTTAGTGCATTCGGATCTAGTCTATAAAATTGCGAATGGAAATGGGGAATGTGTCAAAAAGACAACAACCCGACCATAGAGCAGACAACAGCCGAAGGCCACCAATAGGTCTTCAATGCAGCGAGAAACTCCCGCACCCGGAGGCGTCCTTCAGCTGGCCCCTAAACAAATATGTATACTAGTTCAGTGATAATGGAAGTCATACTAAACTCCAAATTATACACAAGAAACTAAAATTAAAAATGATACAAGACTAACAAAGGCCAGAGGCTCCTGACTTGGGACAGGTGCAAAAATGCGACGGGGTTAAACATGTTTTTTGAGATCTCAACCCTCCCCCTATACCTCTAGCCAATGTAGAAAAAACAAACGTACAACAGTACGCACAGTAAAATTCAGTTTAAGAGAAGTCTGCGTCCGATGTCAGAATAGGAAACAAAATGACAATAATACATAAATAACAACAGACTACTAGCAGTTACTGACATGCCAGCTCCAGACCTCAATTAAACTGATTGAAAGATTATGTCTTCATCATATGAATATCAGGCACAATCCCTCCTGTTAGGGGTTTAGTATTATACCATCATAAAATATATGAGAAGAACATAACCTGTGTCATGCCAACAACTGGTTTTAGAATAAATATGTTTAATTCCGATGCAAAGACCCTATAAGTGAATCAATATTAAAGCCAAAATATGCAATCTTTAATGACCTGACAACAGTATCGTAACTATATCCCTTCTTAATAAGTCGTTTAAAGGTTTTGTTAGCTTTTGAGGTGAATACTGACATTTTTGTGCTTTGTAAAGAATATTACCATAAAAGATTGGATGTGAAATACCTGAACGTATAAGATGTCTGCATGTTGAGTTATATTTACGAATGATGTCCTTATACCGATGATAAAATTTAGTAAATATTTTGACTAGTTTATGATATCGAAAACCCTGGTGTAATAATTTTTCAGTGATACATAAATTTCTCTCGCTAAAATCTAATACGTTGTTACATACACGAGCGAATCTTACAAGTTGAGATATATAAACACCACAAGATGGTGACAAGGGAACGTCACCATCTAAAAATGGATAATTAACGATAGGAAATGAAAAATCATCTCTTTTATCATAAATTTTTGTATTAAGCTTCCCGTTAATGATATAGATATCAAGATCAAGGAAAGGACAGTGGTCATTGTTAGCATTAGCTTTATTTAAAGTAAGTTGAACAGGATAAATTTCTTTAGTATACACACTGAAGTCGTCATTATTGAGAGCCAATATATCATCCAAATATCTAAAAGCATTAATCAAGCCATTAGTTTTCTCTTTTTTTCACCTTTCAGTTTGGCATGTCAGTCAGGGGTAATACTTATACAAGTTTATTTACTTGAAGATGTAAGTAATATTTACTTGTATACGAAGTAAATTTGTAAGATTTTAATTTTTTTTTCAAGGACTGAATAATCTCCCCTTGATCTCCAAAAATTTTTTTTTTTTTTACAACCCCTTATATCAATGTATATTTCAAAGCTTTGGGAGATCAGAACATGCCTTTAAAAGCAAAATGTTTCTGTTTTTCTAATTAATTTTTAATTAAAGTTCAACCTTTTATCTCAAAAACTAAAAAAGAAATCTATTGCACACAGACATGACAGATGTTAAGTAATTTAGCAAAGCCTTCAAAAAATGCTAACTGGAGGCTTGTAAATGAGCAGTATTTTGAAGATAATAGACAAAGGAGATTTTCATTGTCCCTGATATTATACTTTTGTGAATAGTAAAAACAACAATTAATGACAGATAATAAAACACTCTATTAGAACAATATAGTCATGATAGTCATGATTACAGTAGTTGTCGTCTGTTTATGTAGTTCATACATGTTTCTCATTTCTCGTTTTTATATAGATTAGAATGAGATTGGTTTTTCCGTTTGAATGGTTTTACACTTGTAATTTTTTGGGGCCCTTTATAGCTTGCTGTTCGGTGTGAGCCAATGCTCTGTGTTGAAGGCCGTACCTTGACCTATAATGGTTTACTTTTATAAATTGTAACTTGGATGGAGAGTTGTCTCATTGGCATTCATACCACATCTTCCTATATCTATGACAAGGATTTGTATACAAATCCTTGGTCAAGAGAAATTCGAGAGTACAAGTAAATATAAAGTCTTTTTTACTTATACATAGGTAAAAACAATCTCAATGCCTAAGGGATAAATGTATTACTCTACTTCCAAAATAATGTGTACCAGTAAATAAAAAAAAAACACTTGCATAAAAGTATTACCCCTGTCTGCATATAAGGGTCTTTTATTATGGCTGACTAAACAGTATGGGTTTGTTCACATTGAATGTCCTTACAACGATGTGTAATTGTTTACTTTTTCGTTCTTTGGTCTGGTTGATATACACGTAGTTTCAAATATCAATAAAAAAATGTATAGAAATCACTCCTTATTAAGACTGCTTTGAAAAATGACAACAATAACACCTTTACATTGTCATGAAATAGTCTTGATGTCATGCTGTTAGGAAGATTTATCTTTCTTTTTACATAATGTTCCAGCATATCAAAGCTATATATTCAATAATGATATATATGACTGTCAAATAAGTTACTTGGAACCTTGAGTTAAAAAATGTGTTAACTTTTGTTTATATGACTTACATATTTAACATGTTTAAAAGAATCAGCATATTTTTCTTGAGATAAGAGCATATAACATATATAGCAGACACACAGAAATTGCACAGTATAAACAGCTGCCATCAGAAACATTTTTCAATATCACAATATTTAGTATATTATTAATTTTTACCTTTGTTTTTGTCATATATATAAATACCTGTATTAGTATTATAGAGTGTTGCTTTTTATGAACTAGTATAAATAAGAAGATGTGGTAAGAGTGCCAATGAGACAACTCTCCATCCAAGTCACAATGTATAAAAAGTTAACAATTTTAGGTGAAAGTATGGCCTTCAACAAGGAGCCTTGGCTCACACCGAACAACAAGCTATAAAGGGCCCCAAAATGACTTGTGTAAAACAATTCAAACAGGTAAACCAATGGCCTAATCTATATAAAAAACGAGAAACACCTATGAACCACACCAACAAACAACAACCACTGAACAACAGGCTCCTGATTTAGGACAGGTGCATAAAAATGCAGCGGGTTTAAACGTTTTAACAGGTGCCAACCTTCACCCTAACAGTAGTGTAACATTACAACATAAAAACATTTTAAGATTTTGTTATCTTTTGGTCTCTGATGTCAATTTGTCTGTCATCCTGCATCTTTTACTTGTTTTTGGTTTTGAACTTTTTGAACTTTGTCCTCTCTGAAACTGACACCATATACATGATATGAATTAAACATGGCCATTGATGACCACACAGTCATTCTAAAGGTTTCTAGTTTTGAAACTGTATCTTTTTATGCTTTTATTTTCGGTAAACATTTCTGCTTATCAGATCATAAGTTTAAATTATGTAGGGTTAAACTGAGTCCTTAAGGTGGTACCTAACACTACAGGGAGATAACTCTGTAAAAATCAGCTAAATGTTTTAATTACGTTGTATTGTTAAGGAAATATTAAGCTTCTCAATGATCAAAATTAGTGTTTGTCAAATTGCTATATAACCAATGAAATTTTTCTGATAAAGTGGTTGGTTCAAATTTTTTGAAATTTTTATATTTTTGTCAAAGGGTCAAAGTAAACATTTTGTCAATATTTTATGAAAATTAAACGAGCCAAATTAATATTAGTCAAGGTGTTTGGTACCACCTTAAGGTAGCCGGCAGTTCTGGTAGTTAGATATGTATTGCATGTTTTCCCTCTTTTGTCTTTATTTACTGAGGCCAAAAAAATATACTTGTATACTTGTTTCTTACCCCTGGCCGAAAAAAAAGGTTGGTAGGTAAAATTATTTTATTTGTTTTGAAATTTTTACTTAGAATATGTAGGGAACTTTTCAGGGCCTAAACCAACAATGTCAGGAATTTAAAGGTTCATAACAAAGAATGTCCTTAAAATGTGCTAGAGTGGGCATGAAATTAAGGGTACAAGTAGGTAGGGAGCAGTAAACAAAGCTATATATTTTTTGGTCTAATGATATTTAATTTAGAGAGCAGTCAACAGGCACTTGAATCATTTGAATAAAGAAGGCAGTACCAATAAGAAAGGGTAAGCTGTGTTTTATATCTTTATTGAAGGTTTAAAAGATTAAATACTAGCTAGAGAAACTGAAACAGAATATTTTAATTCACAGGTTGCACACCAGTATTTACAAAGAGGGGAACAATAGCTGTAAGATCTGTTAAAAGCAATAGAGCACATTTTTCACCAAATGCACCACTGTCTATAGAGGAAAGAAACAAATTGCAGGTAATTAGGTTAAATGAGACCATCTGTTTACTATTCTATTGTTTAGCTATTCAGACACCTCATTGGTATGTACCCCAACTTAAAAATACCACTGAATTTATATTTTGAGATTTTATGTAAGTGTAAGATTTTTTATTTTTAAATTTTATTTCAGTGTAAGATTTTTTATTACCAGAAGTGTAAGTCTTTATTTTTAGTATCTTTTGTCCATATGAATTTTGCAGATCATTGGTAGTATCTGATTGTCTAGACTAAGGATGATATAGAATTTAACATATTGTGAAGACACTTGTATAAGTTTTAAAAGATGTTGACCTCAATGTGTGTCACATATTTTCATGTCTTTATGTTGTTGGATTGCTGACTTATTGAGATGCAATCAACATCTATCATGCCTTGTCCTGAACATGCATGAAATATTTGCCATTGGATGTTAAGCAACCAACAATCAATTATTTACCCTGCCTATACCAAAGGGAGGTAATTTCTAACAGTTTCCAATGATGCAAAATTTAAAATCCATTTTTCTATTTTCTCTGAAACAAAACGTTTTCACAAGAAATTGACCCATTTGATTTTTCTGATTAGTTCCCATGGAAATGATTCTTCTTCACATGTAACACATTTACTTTAGCAAAAAAAATTTGAAATCAACATGACGAAATTAGAGACAAAAAACATTAGGACCACTGAGACGTGAAAGCCTAAAAAAAGAATAAAGCCCTAGAAAACTTTAAGTTGGACATCAGGACCACCACTACATTCAAAATTGATAAACCTATCTGATTTTTGGTGAAGACAGACAGGGCTACCAGTTTTGAGCACACTGCATGGATGGGTTGTTAAAAGCAAAACCAATTATGAACTGTATTGTAGATGTTCCTCCAGCATTTTACAGGCTTTTTATATATAGCACCTTAAGCGTCTTGTTAATAATTTGAGCAATGCAGTGCTTTATTTGTTGTTTTTTTCCAGGTTTTAGCAGATAATAATGAAATATACAGACTTAGAATTTCTGTGAGAAACACTGGTAATTCTGATGAAGATTATGTTACCTCATATACACCAGCAGTAAGTTAATAAATATAAAAGTTCAATAATGTTATATGTATGGTATTATTAAGGAATAAAACCACTTTTTCATGGCCCCATGTTAAATTCTGCAATTTCCAGCTTTCATAGCCATTTTGTTTAAATGAACTGACAGTTGTTTCATGTCAAAGCAATACCTGATCCTGGATTGTGTGGTAAATTTTCAACATGCCTTAAGTTGCAAATGAAATGACACCTTTCAAAACAAATTTTCAACAAGGGTTCAACAGTGATCCATGGTCCTTTATTAGCTTCTTATTTCATGATTTCTAGCGTCAAGCCTGTTCATGAAGTTTTATTTTCATGATTTTCTTGTGCCTGGTCAGTGATGGTGCTGGTCTTCTTTAAAAAACAAACTTTTACAAGGTCAGAATAAGCAAAATTAACCCCCTTGTGAAAATTTCCCTCCTTACAGTAATTGACTTTTAAAGTATTGGTTAAGTTGGTGGTTCTCGGTGATCGAGTTGTCTAAGTAGTTCATCTACATTAATTACTAGCATGTCAACACTGATGTTTTGAGTTTGAACCAGGCAAGTGGAAGGTGCATTTGACTCTGATCTTAAAACACTTAGGATTGCCAGTTTTCCTACTGAAGGTCAAGGTTCTCTCCAGGCACTCCGTCTTCATCCACCATTAAAAAGTGGCTGCCATGATATAGCCAAGAGTGCTGACAGTAAACAGCCAGCAATAAATTATCTATGTATCACCTACTTTGTTATAAACAGCAGAAAATAGTATTCTGTGGTTAAGTTAACATGAAAATATATCTTATTTGAGCTTTGTCAGATGGAAATTGATAATTTTAGAATTACATTTTAAGATGAATAAAAGAGGTAGGGTATTATAATTGACAAATTGCAGGATATCATATCTAAACAAAATTAATTTAGGTATTATTTTGTAACAGCCTTATCATTTTGAATTTATCATATGTTCCTCTAATCATGGCTTGTATCATTAGCTATCTTAATGTTCTTCTTTAGAATTACTTTATGTTTTGAAAACACATTCGTTAAAATGTCATGGTTGTACTTTTCTGTTGATTTATCAAAATGACGAGATGTCACAAAAGGCATTATTTGGTCCCTGAAATTGCAAATATTGTAAAAGTCATCAATTCTTTAAAAATTGTCTGAATTCTGTTGCTAAATGAATATAATGTTATCTTGACATTACAAAGAAGAATTGTCAATTGTGCATTTACTGAGACCATGATAATGTCAAAATTGACATATATTTGACCTAAGTGGCCATTTCATACATGTACATATAGATTTTGGTAAAATTGAATATTTGCTACATCCTTTTATATATATTATCTACATGTTTGTATAAGACATCTTTTATATCTGAACAACATTTTTTTGTGTTTAAGGCTCTGGCTCATATCTCAAAATTTATTACACAATTTCTGCATGAGTCTTTTTTGGCAGTTTTGAAGTCCTTAAGCAAATTTAAAATATATTTCATTTGCGGTTAGCCCTGATAAATATGATTTTGTCCAGAAAGTCATGCAGGCAATGATATAATATAGGAATATTTCAGTTATCTGCAGCTCTGCTGATTTTTATTCTTTAACTGATACTCACTAAGTAAAATCACCTAGTCCATCTATAAAATTCATTCATCCGTCCCTTTGTTTTCTTTACTTAACTTCTGTATAAAGAAAAGTTTTGATATTTGGTCTTGAACTTTATAATGGGGAGTGGCACATATGGCAAGCAGTCACTTTCTTGACAATAGTTCTTAATTTTATTATACCCTATGATTTTGGGAAATTTTGTCAATATCAAGTTATAAGTAGGTTTCATGATTTGAAAGGCATCTTTTTATTGAAATACTATGATAAATGTTGCATTTCAAGCTGAAAATAAACATTTTAATATGACTTCATTTATCCTTTAAATATAAACATGGCTTATATTTTATTTTAGTGTGGAATATATGAATCATCTCTCTCAGACCATATATGGCTACATTTTGACCAATCAGGTGAACTTTTAGGAGTTTCCATGGTTACAGAACCCTCTGAATGTCGTAATATAGAGGTCGATAGTTCAGATCTAATGCATTGGAATACAACAGTAGATATAACTCAAACAGTACAAGGACCACAGTAAGTCATGTACAATATTTCCCATTTTTAGTTCACCTGGCCCATTGGGCCAAATGAGCTTTTCTCATCACTTGGTGTCTGTCGTCCATTGTCATTTGCTGTCTGTTTAAAAAATGTGTCCCATGACCCCACTGGTCGACCAAAATGGCAGACATGATTAAAATAGAATATAGGGGTAAAATGCAAGTTTTGTTTTTATCTTGAAAATCTAGAGAACTATGAATTTAGAAAATCTGATGGGGGCAAAAATGTTCATAAATATGAGATCTACATATTGTTTGTTTGCATCAAAACTATTAGACGACTTCTAATAGGAGTTATTACCCTAAAAAAAATTGTAAGGGGTTTGGTGGAACCCTGTGTCTTGCCTGCAATTGCAGCTGTCAGTGTAAAAGTGTAATGTTGACTTAAAAAGTGAGTCCATTTATCAGTAAAATACAGAATTTAAAAAAAAAAATTCTTAAGTTTTTCCTTAGATTCTATTTCTTGGTCTTGAAGATTAGCTCCTAAGTTTCTCTAAAATCCATAATGGTTTACAAATTTATCATGTTGAAAAAGTTTAATCCCAGACTGTCTGTAAATGTTAGATTTTAAAAATTAAGTCCATCTATTAGTAAAATACTGAAAATGAAAAAAAAAAAAATTTTCAAAAGTTTGCTTCAGACATTATCTCTTAATCGTATATATTCAAAAGCTTCTGCCAAAGTTTCATAAAATTCTATGTAGGTTTGATAAAGTAATTGTTATATAATGAATTTAAACCCAGACTGTATCTATTTTTGTTCAATGTAAAATAAACTTAAGTCCATTTATCAGTTAGATATGGAAAAATGAAAATAAATATTAGACACAGACGCCAGAATCTAGGATTGCTATGTCTTCTTTTCCCTACATAAATGTTGCAGGCTCGACAATGATGAATTTTACCATATTTTTTTTTAAATTTTGCCTATTATTTTAAAATCTATGATAGAGAGAGAGAAACTTTTAATGCAAAAATGATCAGCAAGACAAGATCTACAAATAAGTTAAAAATTTGTACCACTTCTTAATGGAGTTTTTCTCCTTTAATGATAATTTTTAACCATTTTTTGCCAAATATCTTAAAAAAAATGATAGCCAGATGGAAATTTAAATAAAGAAAAATGTTCAGCGAGAGAAGATCTATCATGTCTATGATGAAGTCAAACATGGTCGAAATTGTTTGACGACTCCTTATTGGATTTGTTGCTCTTTAATGACAATTTTTACCCATTTTTAGTGTTTTTGCCTATTATTTTGAAAACTATAGTTGATAAATAAACTCTTGAAGAGTAAAATTTATCAACAAGACAAGATCTACAAACAAGTCAAACATAGCTGAAATTGTCTGACAGTTGATAATGGAGATATTGCCCATAAATGATGATTTTTACCGATTTTTGCCTAATATTAAATAAAAACTTAAATAGGCAGAAATGATCAGCAAGACTGCATCAACAAAAAAGTGTAAAGGCCGAAATTGTCAGTCGACTCTTTATTTGAGTTATTGCCCTTTAATGAAGATTTTTTGTGTTTTTGCCTAATATCTTAAGAAGTATAATAGATAGATAAAAACTTATATAGCAAAAAAGGATCAGCAATACAAGATCTACAAATAAGTTAACATTACCAAAATTGTCACTCCACTTCTTATAGGAGTTCAGGCTCTTTCATGACTATTTTTACCATTTTTTTGTGTTTATGCTTAGTATCTTGAAAATTATAAAAGATAGAGTCACTCTAAAAAGGAAAAAAATGATCTTCAAACAAGTTACATTTTGACAAAATCGTCTGTAGACTGTTGATAGGAGTGATTGCCCATATATGAAGATTGTTTACCCTTTTGTATGTTTTCGCCAAAAACTAAAGAATATAGAGAGAAACTGTAAACAGAAAAAATTATCAGCAATACAATCATGAATTCTATTCTAGTCAAAAATATTTGAGAGGGTCTATTGTTGTAGATGTATATAGACCTTGATGATCGAGACAGGCTCTTTAAAGCCTCTAGTTTGTGATTCTTATATCAATGGTTTTTCAAACGAGAGGGTGTTTCTCTGCTGGAATCTCATCGAAGGTCGACTGAGAAAAATTCATATCACCAGAGAAGCATGACATGTAAAATTATCATAAAATAAAAGAAAAATGAGGGGCGTAAAGGGGGGTATCTGCACAGAAGAACGCGAAATAAAATTGCCATTTCACAATGAATGAACAATTTAAAATTTCTTGCACGTTGATCTTTTTACCGATTTCACGAAACACGGTGAATAGCGAAACTTTTTCACGGCTGCATGTGAAATAAAAATGGCAAAACACGTTGCAAGAAAATAACCCTTTACCACCCTCAAGAATGTGTCTGAGGACACGAATGCCCCATCTCTAGTTTTGCAATTTTCAAAGTTAAAAAGGGGCAAAACTCTAGAACGGTACATTACTCACTGCCAAAATTGGAACTCTGTCTGCTTGTTGTGGTTCCTAGCATTGTGTTTAAGTTTCATAAAATTTGAATGAGGAACACTAAAGTTAGAGAGCAGAATGAAAATTAGACGGAAGGAAAGATGGAAGGACGGGAGGAACGTCAAGGGTAACACTTAAAAAGATCAAAGCAAAATTTTACAAATTAGCGATAATCAAACTGATCTCCATGTGCTTGAGTTAATTTTCTTGGAATGTGGCATATTTATTATTTTGATTGAGAAAGCATAGATGTTTTCAATTTTAGCCAAGAGATGGAAATATGGTAGAAATTAAAAAAAATTACATGATGTACATTCCTTTTAATAATGTTAAAACAAAAAAAATTAGAAAATAGGTAAAAAAGGGAAATAATCCCTTAGCTACATAATTGAGTTTAGAATTTTAAAAGTCTGTAGAAATAATGTCTGTATTATTTTCTCAAGAGCAGATGTTTGATCATGTTGATTGACAAAGAAAATCATAAAAATCTAATATGCTTGTTAAATTTTCTACTGATTGTATTGACAGAAATGTTTTTGTTCCACTGTGCAGGAAAATAACGATAAATCTAATCATGTTAACAAAGGCATGTTTAGTCAACTAGTTTCTGAGTTTTGAAAGTCAGTGGTACAGCCATTTTTTATACGGCCGCACAATTTATTTTGCGGTCGTATATTGGTATGACGTTGGCGTCTATGTCGTCGTCCGAAGACACATTGGTTTTCGCACTGTAACTTAATTAAAGTGAATGGATCTCTATGAAATTTTACCATAAGGTTCAATACCACAAAAGGAAGGTTGGGATTGATTTTGGGGGTTATGGTACCAACAGTTATGGAATTAGGGGCCAAAAAGGGGCCAAAAATAAGCATTTTTGTAACTTCCAGACATAACTTGTGTGTTAGTGTATGGATCTCTCTGACATTGTACCACAAGGTTTCATATCACAAAGGGAATGCTGGGATTGATTTTGGGGGTAATTGTCTCTAAATTTTAGGAATTAGGGGCCAAAAAGGGGCAAAAAACAAGCATTTTTCTAGTTTCATGACAATACCTTGTGTGTAAGTGTATGGATCTCTCTGACATTGTACCACAAAGTTCCATATCACAAAGGGAAGGTTGGGATTGATTTTGGGGGTAATTGCTTCCAAATTTTATGAATTAGGGGCCATAAAGGGGCAAAAAACAAGCATTTTTCTAGTTTCATGACAATAACTTGTGTGTAAGTGTATGGATCTTTATGAAATTGTACTACAAGGTTCCATATCACAAAGGGAAAGCTGGAATTGAGTTTGGGGGTAATTACCCAAAACGTTTAGGAATTAGGGGCCAAAAGGGGCCAAAAATAATAATTTGTCTAGTTTCCAGACAATAACTTGTGTTCAAGTGTATGGATCTCTCTGAAATTGTGCTGCAAGGTACCATACCACAAAGGGAAGGCTGGGATTGATTTTGGGGGTAATTCCCTCAAAATTTTAGGAATTAAGGGCCATAAAGGGGCAAAAAAACAAGCATTTTCTAGTTTCAGGAGAATAACTTGTGTGTAAGTGTATGGATCTTTATGAAATTGTACTGCAAGGTTCCATATCACAAAGGGAAAGCTGGGTTTGAGTTTGGGGGTAATTGCCCAAAACGTTTAGGAATTTGGTGCCAAAAAGGGGCCAAAAAACAAGCATTTTTCTAGTTTCCAGACAATAACTTGTGTTCAAGTGTATGGATCCCTCTGAAATTGTACTGCAAGGAACCATACCACAAAGGGAAGGCTGGGATTGAGTTTGGGGGTGTTGAATCATAAGGGGGTTCAAAAAATTTGGGGGGGATTTTTTTCCCCTATTTTTTCTTTAAAATTTTCCATTTTAAATTGGTTATTTCTGATTTATATGTAAAAGCAAATAATAATGATATGGTTTGAATAGGTAAATTAAAATTTTTTAAGTTCTTAGACCACATTCATTCTGTGTCAGAAACCTATGCTGTGTCAAATATTTAATTACAATCCAAATTCAGTGCTGTATCAAGCTTGAATGTTGTGTCCATACTTGCCCCAACTGTTCAGGGTTTGACCTCTGCGGTTGTATCAAGCTGCGCCCAGCCGGAGCATTTTATTATATGTTTGTTTTTCATTCCATGCTATAATCAAGTTATCATTGCTATACACAAAAGTGTACATGCCTTTGTCAATGACCTTATCTGTTTCTGTCAAGACGGTGAACTGGAATTAGCCTTGACAAATTTTTATATGATGAAAATAGAAATATTGTCATTCAGTAGTTTATTGACATTTGTTACCCTAATGACTCGGCCACTTCTGTCTAAACTTCAACAATCATTACTTAGGTGGCTTTTAATGAACATATTCCCAATACATTTCAAACAGTCATTTAATGAATAATTCAAAACACTAAGGACATTATTCATTATCTACATTGATAAAACTGGAAAACAAAACAATCATTTTATTTATGGTATACATGGTATATGAGATCTGATAAAATGGACATTTGTATATCAATTAAGAAGGACATCAACAGTTATACAATTCATGTCACTAAAATAGTAGCCTTAAATCACATTAAAATGTCAAACAAAATCATCATATCTTGTAAACTGTAAATATCAGGCAAGGATAGATTATAAGATCAATAAACTAGAAGCCAAATAACCAACTGTAGGTTCATTATGCCCCACCTATGATAGTTTTTTATGTTTTTACAAAAATCTGTGAAAATAATGTTAATTCTTGCAGAATCACTTGAAGACTATAAAACTATATAAACTCTTATGTCATGTATGTTTTGGATGTCAGTTTAATTGTTTTCTTTTTTTGTTTTAAAAATCTCATTCTCATATTATAAGAGTTCCCTAACTGTTTCCGAATTAAACAGGGAGACCATATTTAGGGGAAATCAGAGATTATAAGTTGGAAAAAAAACAGACAATACTATGGCCAAAATAAAACAAAACAGGATATTTGATAGCAACTTTAGATAATGGATGTCAGCAAACAAATGTTTTCAACACTATCCCTTTCCAAAGATGAAATTTATGGTAGGCATAAGAACACCAACTACCTCATATCCCTGTTTTGACCTGTTTAATTAAAAGAAATAAGAAAGACAGCATCAAAGATATTGATATAGAGAAATTTCAGTTATTTATCTCTTTCTCACACATGATTTCGGTAAATGATTGAAGCCTTTTGTTTACAACAGACCTGATACTCAAACTTACATAGAGAAGTTGAAGAAAGAAGAAATGGAGAAAAAGAAAGGACAACAGTCAGATAATAGATCCTTCTTTGCCAAATATGTAAGTAGACTTTAAATATTTTGAATCTGTCTTAAAGTGTACTTATGTGAGGTTTAGGAATATGTGTCAGATGTTCGGACTCCTTGGTTTTTTTCCTTCAATACAGGGTAAAATATTTTGCCTCATAGCACCCATTTTTCCTTTCTTATAAGACTTCAATAGCTCATAAAAGGTCATTTACTAAAATTAAAGCAGATTCTAGATTTCATTTCTTTTCGATTTGAGACCCAAATGATACCAATGCAAATATAAGGTAAAAGTCCGAGTCAGCCTTTTCCCGCCATTTTTTAAAAATCAAATATCTTGAAAAGGAGCTCCATAACCTGCAAATATTTTTTGCTTATTTTGTTCCTTAACTAATGGTCTTCCGACTTAAAGTATCAATTTTAAATTCTAGATTTTTTAAATTTCACATAAGTACATCCTTAACTAATGCTATAATGTGGACACATTTATTATAACCCTGCAAACAAAGTTTTGGAGGTGGTATATAGGTGCATGGTCATTACATCCATCCGTCTGTCTGTTCCATTGTTGGTGTGCATTTTGGACACAACTCCTGTAAAACAGCTAGATTAAACTGTACACAGTTGAAGAACACTACCTTAGGATGATCATTCAATGCTACCATTTAAAAAAGAGAAAGGAAAGATAATCAAAGGAGGAGATTTGCCAAGACCCATTTATGGCCCTTGAAATTGCAAATATAGTAAAATATTCAAGCCTCTTAAAATAAAAAAAAAGAAGATATGGTATGATTGCAGATGAAACAACTATCCACCAGATACATAATGAAGTGGAAGTAAGAAGCTGTAGTTCACCATTTTGTGTTTATTATGACTGATTTATTGATAAATGAACAGGTTGGTTAAGGATGTTTGCTCCTCTTGCTTTTGAATTTTTGCCAGATATTCGGAATCCTCTGGTTTTATCCATGTAGTACAATTAAAAAATTTTCCCTGCTAAACCCTACTTTTCTTTTCATAAATTTATTACATATAGTTTAAAAAGCCATATTTGAAAATGCTATAAAATCCTTGTTATTTTTTCATAATTTAAAAAAAAAAAGGGCACCAATGTTAAATGTATGCAAAGTCTAGAGAGTATTATTTCCCGCCAAATTTTCAATGGCTTACATCTCGAAAAACAAGCACACAGACCCTTCATTTTTTTCTGCTTTTTTAGTTTCTTTATTGGTATACTATAAATTTATAACAGTCTTTTAAAAGGCTTGTTATTTTGAAACAGAGTATCAAACATCCTTAAGTGGAGAATGGTCACTATTATGTCATACCTTGACAAGTCTGACAATTTCTGTCATTTGGTCTCTTGTTGAGAATTCTCTCATTGGCATTCATACCACATCTTCTTATTTTTATATGTTTGACTTAAAAAAAAATGAACTTGTATCATGTGTATTGTCTGATGCTTTTAAAAAAATGATGTGTTTTCAATCTTGTCATGTAACATATACTAATTTAAAATTCACTGTTAAAAATTATTAAGAAATTATTAAGAAAATGCAGTTCCAACTCCTTATAGCATGTATATCAAGGTGACTTTAGATGAATTTGCATATTTTGTTTAGGTCCTTTTTGATTATATAGCTCCTAACTTTGCAGCATATTTACCCATGCCTGGCTTTCAAATGTTTATGTCAGAAATCACCAGTAAATTATCTCTTTATAGTTTTGATTGAAAAGAAAAAAATTAAACCATCATCATGAATCGATCAGTTGAATAAAAACAATATTTAGATTTCCGCTGCTGGGAATTATGTTTTATAATGAGCAAAGAAATGTCAGGGAAATATCTCTTGGGCATGTCCTGATTTCTAACTATTAAAGTGAAAATTCATTTTTTTAAATCAAATATTTTTCTATTGGATTCTTATTTAATTTCATTGAAATACTCTGATAGTAAAGAAGTTAATCTTAATTTATTAAAAGGTAGTCCATTATACTAAGCTCTAAGATGAAAGACGTAGATAGATTGCATAGACAATTCAATTCAGTTTATAAATGGGAAATGTAAGCTTTTCTCAAAGCTTTCCTTATTGTGTGTAAAAAAAAAAGATACAAATAAAAGGTATAACAATTTTAGCACAACAATCAAGTCTGAAGATAATTGATGGTGCTTTATGAAGAGCAGAAAGAATGATAGGATTGTGCCATTCATCCTGTCGGTTGGACTTGCAACTTGTCAATTAAACCTTTGAAATTAGATTGAAAATTATCTGAAATAAGAAAGAAAGAGATTTTCTTTAGGAATTCATAATTTTCACTGTTGTTTTGCAAAATAAATGCAATATCATACAATGTTTATTCTTCAAGGTGGGATTTTATTGCAAGATTAAAGACAGTGAAAATTATGAATTCCTAAAGAAAATCTCTTTCTTTCTTATTTCAGATAATCTTGCAATAAAATCCCACCTTGAAGAATAAACATTGTATGATATTGCATTTATTTTGCAAAACAACAGAAATATAATACACGTTAAGATAAATAATTTCTATAAATGAAGTAGCGATTTAATACTCATTACTATTGTTTAGGGCTGTCTTAAGAGGATAAAAGATATTATCTTTCCTACTGCCATTTCCTATGAATGGAGAACAAATGACAATCACATGATTCTACAGATTAGTAACCTTCATCATGTTGTCATTGAAGATATATTTTGATGCAAGGCTTAGTCAGCATTCAATCTGTAGTCTTTTAAAGCATTTTTATTGATATGAAATAAAAAGAGATGTGAGGTTTACCTCATTATAACAAATTTAGATATCATCTTTTAAAATATTTTTGTAAATGTAAATAAAATGAGATGTGAGGTAAATGTCATTATACTGCAAGTAGTTGTGTTTTTTTACTAAATATACATATAGTAACACAGCTATATTTTGTGCAATGTCAATTTCATCATGGATCACTTTTTCCACAATCAGGGGTCATTAAGGGTTGAAATTAAGTTTGAAATTTGTAACAGAATTTAAATAGCTTTCAATGTATTAATTTAAGTTGCAGTATAAAAACAATATTCAATAATGTAAGAAAAATATTAACTTTTTTGTATTCGGCACAAAACTGGGGTAAAATCTCGCCCTTCCCCAGTTTCTCAGCCTCATACAAAAAAGTTTATATTTTTCTGACATTGACCTAATATTGTATATTTATAAAGCTTAGTTATCATATACTAAAGCATTTTTGTAAATGTAAATAACTGAATGGAAGATGTGATGTATATGTCATGAGATGGCAACCTAAAAAGAATTGCCAAGGTCAGCTAATAGAATGATTCTCAGTTTCTTGATAAATTTCGAAATTTATCTGGAGAATATACACGATTTAAGAAAAGTATGATATAAACTATGTCAATGCAGTATACTGACTACTGAGCTAAATCATTGTAATTAAACTCATCATAGAAACCAGTCTTAAAATTTTGTATACCAGGCGCATGTTTCTTCTCCAAAAGACTCATCAGTGACGCTCAAATCAAAAATTTAAAGGATAAATAAAGTATGAAGTTTAAAAGCATTCAGGACCCAAAATTGATGCAACATGTTAAGCAAGATCTGTTCCCACTACAACTAGGACACATTGACCTTAATCAATGATTTAAGTCATAAAAAAAAACGCATGAGTGATGGAGATAAACTAAACTGTCATTTATTAAGGATCTATTTCTTTATTGATGATTTTTTATATGTCTAAACTGAATTATTATTATACCCTCTTGGCATGCAATGGCTATATATATTAGCAAACTATAAGGAAATTAATAAAAGATGATATGAAAAATCATTATCTCAATAGTTATACTAAGAAAGTATTTTTAAATTAATGCATTTTAATGGGATTTATGAAATAAAAAAATCAATATATCAGTTGTTTCTCTGAAAATAGAAATTCAAATGGATCCATAAGGCATTGCTTTATATGCTGTGGATCTAAATTTAGTATTAGAAACCAATAAAGATTCAGTGTCCCTCTGGAAACAATAGTATACATACATATTTATAACCTTGCAAATCATTTTTCATCTAACACCATTGAAGCTTGTGATACATTTTCAGACTTATTCATTTTAAATTAAAGTCAATTCCCCAGGATATTCATATTAGACCTTAAATGAGCAAGAAATTTTAAACTATTTTTTCATCTAGTGTTTTAAATCTAATAAGAAAAATAAGAGAAATGGATCATTTGATAAAGAACCACCTAACCAATCATTTTTGAGGTTTCATGTATTGAATTTTTAAACAATAATTTTCAAACCAGATCTTAAGTTATTATATAAATGTTGATAAAGTTATATCCTTAAGAATTTCAACGTTATCTTTTAACCACTAACACAAGTTTTTCCACATAATCAACAAAACATAAGGATCTTGGTGGTCTGCCACATAAATAGGTGGTCTTTCCTACCTTATTGACACAACTCGTTTTAAACAGCTAGATTAAGGATGTACTTAGGTGAAATAAAAAAAAATCTAGAATTTAAAATTGATACTATAAGTCAGAAGATAGATTTAAGAAGATGTGGTATGAGTGCCAATGAGACAACTCTCTATCCAAGTAAAAATTTATAAAAGTAAACCATTATAGGTCACAGTACGGTCTTCAACACGGAGCCTTGGCTCACACCGAACAGTAAGCTATAAAGGGCCCCAAAAAATTACTAGTGTAAAACCATTCAAACGGGAAAACCAACGGTCGAATCTATATAAAAAACGAGAAACGAGAAACACTTATAAACCACATAAACAAACGACAACTACTGAACATCAGATTCCTGACTTAGGACAGGTGCAAACAAATGCAGCGGGTTTAAATGTTTTAATGGTACCAAACCTTCAAGAGCATTAGTTAAGGAACAAAATAAGCTAAAAGTATTGATAGGTTATGGAGCTCTTTTTCGAGATATGTAATTTTTAAAAATTGGTGGGAAAAGGCTGACTCAGACTTTTACCTTATATTTGCATTGGTATTATTTG